TTAAGATGTTCTAGGGGACAAATCCAATCAAATGTAAACTGAAATATAACCTTGAAATCCTTTTAAAAAATAAATGGAAGCACTGTATAAGCTACCAATGCATTCCTACTGATTCTATTGTCCCTCCGGCTCATTACATATGATGAAAGCATCTGTTGATAATTAAATCTTTGAGTAATTTGTAGTCAATGATATTCAAAAATATATGTCAAATATAGCTTACTAATGAAAATATTTTGTTCACTACACAATGAATGGTTACCATGCGTGTATTGATGAATATAGACTTGGTTAGGCCTATTCTATTTTGGTGTATATGACTAGTTGTTAAGAAAAATAGAATAAAGTCACAAAGAATCAATAAACAGCAGATATGTTTACACCTGCAAAACCTTGTCCAAATAGTAGATTTTCAAGTTTGAATAATTCCAAGAATTGATAAAAAAGACGGATTAATTAGCAAATAAAAAATTAGAAAAAAACCATAAAGGAATGCACTAAGTGAGTGGAAACTGTGATCCCTTTGTCATATCAACAAACAAAGTCAACTGTTCCTTGTTGACTAGTAAAATGTCTATTCATATAAGCAAAATTTTGATGATTTTGAAAACATTTGGAATATTAATGAATTATTTTTAATGTTTCAGACATGTCTTTCTGCACTTCATTTGTAAGAAACCTGATGCTACAGTAAAGCCATAAGCAAGGGAATTCCTTTTCACTGCTTATTTGAACTAAGAAAGGATGACCTCCATGAATATCTTTCAGTCAGACAATCAATCATCACGTTCATGAAAATTCGTAGAAAATCATACACTGCAAAGAGAAAAACGTTAAGGCGAAGCTTCAGTCCATCACTCCTATCTCGCATCCTACAGAAATTCAGAAAATAATTTTTGATTATGCACACTTGTTGCTTGATCTGTGGAATGAAGATTGACTCCACGATCTACAAAAACATCCTCACCGGTCATGATGCTTTTTCAGCAAAGTTGAAATCATAAATAATGACAAAAATTCCACTTTTCAACAAACTCTCTTAGATGTTTGTAGTAAAAAAGACAAGATGATGATGCAACATCAACCTGTCAAAGCCTCGTATTTTGTATGCAGGGAGATATAAGAGAAAGTTGAGGCCAGATGTACCATAGACAGTGTCTTCTAGGTATACATACATCCCAGGAACATCAAACACAGTCAAAGCAAGCAATTCTAAATCTCACGTAACTCTGACCAGGGGAAACAACAGAGCCTTTAGACAAGTTGCAGCAGATGGCTTGATGGAAGATAAATCATAACTATCAGCAGTTCAATAACTAAGATGTGCATTTTCAGGAACTCTTTCATCCTATCTATCTCCTTGAAACTGAACTCATATTCCATAAAACAACCTCAAGAGGAGACTGGATTGATACATTTTGGAGATCAAACAACATTTTCTGAGATGGGATGGAAAACCAAATGCTATCACTTTCAACAGTACAGCATCTTCCATTCTTCATGGATCTTACACTCAAACTGACATTCAAAAAGGAAACTGAAGATAAGAAGATTATAAGCCAAGCTGGATCCAATTTCTACCTCAGAGATGAAATACAAGTGGAGTCTGGCACAGGATGAATCTTCTACCCAAGAATATCCTTCTACCCAGTGACATCAATGTGGACAAACTTTGAAGAGCAGGTACCGGGCCCTCAGTCTCATTGGAAAGAATCCCACCGGGTCAGTTAGAGTCCATCATCTCTTGCCAAAACAGAGACTTCTTTATCATTTCTATGTCATGTTCTACTTCAGATGGCTTCAGGACAGTCATACATCTCAACACTTGATGCTCTGTGTAGGCCTGTTTATCCACCACCTTACACGGGTCAAGAGTTCTTCTCAATGTTCTTCCTCCCTTTGGGTTTAGCTACTCTTATGATCAAGTCATTGACTTCCCCGGAGAAATCGGCTGCTGTCAATCAAGATAACGTCAACCAATCAACTGAGCCTGCTTCAGGATTTTGCCAATGGATCGCAGACAACTTTGATCACAATGAAGATACATTAAATGGACAAGATACATTCACATGTAATGGGAATAATAACTTGTCAAACACCCAAAGAAAGTAAAACAATTTCCATCCCCAGACAGAAAGTAACATCTGCTGAGATTATGAAATCAGGAACCTTTTGGTACACTCCCATAAAACCCTACCATCAACTTTCAGTCAGAAGTCAACTGCCCAATGTTAGGTTTTGGAGGAGCTGCAGCCAATCAATCTTCCTATGACACACTTCAAAGTATGGACATGCTGTGGATAGTGTCCCGCTTGTTGAGCAACTCATCTCCAAGTTGGCAGGGTTTTGCGTCTCAGGTCACAGATGGTACAGTTGTTTGCTCTTCAGTCATGTACAATCCTATCATCCCATTAAATCCAACAGACAATGGAGGCGCGGTTTATAGTACAATGACTTTTGTAGATTCCAAAGAAGAAAATTCATTAGTGTTGTGGCTGGCTGTAAATTACATTTGACCAAGCTCTTTGCAAAGGCGTATAAAACAAAGGTTGACAATCCTAAAGAATTCAAACATCTGTCGGGTTACGCCTGGGTGGATTCCACCAACTGATGTCCTTTCTTGAGCTGGGTGTAAGTGTATGCAGGACAGTGGTCTTGAAGATGTGTGGGCTACTGTATATGCCAACAAGTCTATTCCGGAAGATGATGGAAGGAAGGTTTACACAAAAGCTCTGAGAGCATGTCTTTGATTACAGATGCTGCCCTTCACATGATCATTCTCAGTCCAGAAGAGTCATCAAGCAAAATTGACTTCAATCCAAGGAATAACAAAATGAAATATGGAGGAGTCTTCAACAATATAAGACTTCAAGAACTTCAAAATTTGCATGTTAGTGTTCTGAAAAAAATGAGAAGACATATGAAGATGTCAAGAATGATCCAGATATTCAACACTGTATTCAGTTGGTAGATCAAGAAAAGTGCAAGCTTCAAGAGTCAAGAACTCGGCAAACTATGGATTCAGTTCATGGAATTTTGTTACAGTAGTGCGCAATTTCATCAGAGCAGAACGGACTCCGGAACTGGAAGCTCCATCTCAAAACTTCCTCACAAATGTTGCCTTTTCGCAGCAGGTAGGGCACAAACAACTACACCAAGTAATTGTCGACTCTATCTGCAGGATTGTCAAATGCTGTGTCCTTGTTTGCAGGTACAGATGGAAAAAAGGAAACTTGGCCAATAAGAAGAAATGAGAACTTGTTTTGGACTGGGACGTGGAGGACATGGTGATTGAAACAATGTTTGATGAGAGCTGGCAAGACTCAAGGAGGACCTCCATCAATGTTACACATCAGGAATCAGCTCGCACAAAATGGCTGTTGTCTGCCCACATTGTGACACAGTACACTGAAGTTTTACGAATCTTGGACCAACACTCAAAGTGGATCCTGGTCAGAGCAGCACAGGGAGGTCAATATAGGCCGCATCAAACAAGACCTACAAGACATGCACACTTTTGAGGACTATCTGAGAAGTCACAACCCCTTTCATTCCAAAGATTCTCACCAGCTTCGAAATATTGCTACTGGAATGTTTGCTGACAAGTCTGTGAATGTAGACACAGCACTGAGATTGAGCAAAAACAACTGGAGAAAAATGTCCCATCAGAAGTTCGGAGATGTTGTCCTGAAAAATGTGACCAAACTGTGACATTTGCTGTGATGAGAAAAGCCTTTGAAAATTGGTCGCGATGATATCCATATATCCTCATCAGAAGTGTACCAACGTTTGTTATCTCTTGCGTGTTTGACAGGACTCCAAAACCAACAGTGTTTTCATATGAGCTGGCTGCAGTGTGTCCAGTACTCATTTCATGATGATGGTACTATGCGGAAATGCCAGAAGTCGCAGCTTGCAAGGCACATTTCAAAACTTCATCCCAATATCATCGCCTCTGATCCTGGCAGGATACAGCACTTGTCATAGATGGATGTGCCCTTTGCAACAAATGCAGTGGCCAAAGGTTGGATTGTTTCCAAGATATATGCTCATCATTCTGTCAAATAGTTTCAGCAAAAGCAAAGAACAGTCCTTCAGTTCATGTGGTTTTTGATAGCTATGAGGTTATAACCACAAAAGAACCCGAACAGAAACGTCGTCGTCTCCAAAGATCTTCAGTTGCTGATGTCGAAGTCGAAGACACAACCCCAGTTCCATCTGATAAAAGTGGCTTCCTATCAAACAGACACAACAAGCAGGCGCTTGTCTACCTGATGGCAGAACACCTGAATGATTTCAATATCAGCGTACAGCATGCTGGTGATGAAGGCGATGCAGATGTTGTGATTGTTAAGCAAGCACTGACAACGGCCCTAGAGCATCCTGTTTGTGTGTGTTCAGATGACACAGATGTTCTGGTACTACTGCTCCACCACTGTAAAATTGATATGCATCAGGATATTTTTATGAAGACAAAAACACTCATATATTCTGTCACAAGAGGGCGACAATCATTAGGTCCCAATATGTGCCAATGTCTTCCATTCATCCATGCTATGTCAGGTTGTGATACGACATCAGCATTCTTGGCATGGGCAAAGTCAAACACTTCAAACTTATACAGCAGTCGGAGGAACTTCAAGGAGAAGTAAAGGTGGTTTGAAACACAGCCACACCTAAAGAAACTATTGCTGCAATTGGAGAGACATATGTGTCCTTCTTATATCAAGGAGAAAAACCGACCTCTGGATGAAGTGCGGTAACCTCAATATCATCTCGTCAAAATATGTCCCATTAGTGAAGATGCCTCCAACTAGCCGAGCATGCTACTTTCACTGTTTGAGGGTCCACCATCAAGCAGCTACATGGAAACAACTACAGACTGTATTGGATAGGATAGGTTTGATTCAAATCAGTCGATGGTGTTGTTGTGCCAACGATAACAGATATAAACCAGCTGCTCCTGACGACCTCCCTGCGTGAAGTCCGGTGTTCCTGCAGTAAACAAGAGGGAGGCATCCTGCACCTCGTGCAGCTGTGTGAAGAGACGAATGCTATGCAGCATCCACTGTAACAGTTCTGGGGAACTGTTTGAATCCTCCCTCCAACAGTCTGCCTGGATTCTGATGATGAGACATAGAGTAACCCATGGAAAGTCAAATAACCTTGTTACACTATTGGTAAGCACAAGATTAAATGTTTTTTGCTGATGTATCTGATGTTATTAAAATTTTTACATCATGCGCCACTGTAAATTTCAGATGAGTTTCAAATATGTAGTTATAAGCCATTGGCCAAAACTGACATTAACTAATTCAATAATTGATTCAAAAAATCCTTACAGTTTTAATTACCCAAGTGACACAAAGATTGTGCTAAAACCAAGATGTGGATTGAATACAAATTTAGGACATTATTTACTTATTTTCTCATCTTTATTTTAGGATTTTGCCCCTAAATGACAATTTCTCAAAGGTTGATTTTGGGTGTGTATGCCATGGTGAACAAGTAATTCTATTTGGGTTCATTTAGTCATAAAATGTGCTTGTTATACTAAATGCGCACTCTTTTCCAAAAATATTTCAACCATTTTCATCATCTTTTTTAGGTAGATTTTGGCCCAAAAATGACCATTTCCCCCCAAGGCTGATTTTGCTGGGTTTTCCATGGTGAACAAGTAATTCCATTTGGGTTCATTTAGTCATGTAATTTGCTCGTTATAATTAAATGTAATTCTTTTTCCAAAATATTTTAACGATTTTTCATCTTTTTTTAGGGACTTTGGCCCCAAATGACCATTTCCTGCTGGGCCAATTTTGGTTGGGTTTTCCATGGCGAATAAGTGCTCCATTTGGGTTCATTTAGTCATAAAATGCTTGTTGTTATAATTAAATGCAATTCCTTTCCAAAAAATATTTAACGATTTTCTCATCTTTTATAGCATTTTGGGCCCAAAAACACCATTTCCCCAAGGTTGATTCTGGCTTTGGTTTCCTTCCCATGGTGAATTGCCATCCCGATTTAGTCTACGAATAAGTCATAAATGTAGTCATTATACTAAATGTCTTGTTTCACAATTTCTACTGGACTATTCCTAGTTTATTTATTATTATTTTTGTATTTCAGAACCTGAACTGTGTTGGAAGAACCTAGGCCTAGTTGTTCTAAACTCCATTCAGTTCAACCCCACATTATGAACACACACACGTGCCCTGTGGCCAACAACAAATGGCCTTTCACAACAATTTTGAGTGCAGAAACATGACTATTTTGACTCAAGTAATCATGACATGTGTTTGTTTTTAAACTCCTCACTCAATGTATCATGGATTGTATGGTCAAGTCGTGGGACTCTCGTGGACAATCGTCTACTACAGAATCTGGTTCTTTTGCATAACGATTCGGAGATTCTGACTGATTTACTTTACTGCGAAGTACAGAAAAAGTTCAAAACTAAGATAATAGAATGTTCATTTTTTTCATCAGTCATAGGACAAAAGGAAGCTTCCAACTCTTCTTTGGGTTCGAAATGAAATATATAACCTCAAACGCCAGATATAAGTGTAATATCTGGATGTGTGAGTTGAAATTATGATGACAACCGCTGGAACAATGCAATAATGTTGATTATTGATTTCCCTCAATGTTGATGAGTAAGCAAAAATTTGATAATATCTCTGTTTATTTCCTGAACACTGTTTTGCCAGTAAATATATAATGGAATCTGTTTTGGAAGTTTGTTAACTACTGAATTAGAGGTGTTGATGTTTTGAATAATATCAAATATTATTTGGTCATATATGCATATAAATACGCACATGATTTATTAAAACCCTTTCAAAAATTTATATGAATTAAACTGTACACCTGACTATATCATAGCTAACATTTATGTAACTCTACTAAATTCTGTTAAGGATACAAAGCAAGCAGACAATATCCTGCCAAGCACCCCATCACATGCAACATGTCGCAATGGCATAATGTGGCACCCCATACACACACAATAGAATTGCACTGATGAATTTTCACAATGACAAACCTGCACATGTCTCCCAAGCACCTTGACAGATGATCATTCCCAACACATGGCAATTAGGTGGGATTTGACAAGAATCAGGACAAATGCAATGAAGGGAAGTCAATGAGAACCGATGGAGCCAAGGAGGAGGACATGAAAATGTGACAATTTGGCTCATCTGTATGGATGATTTTATTTTTCTCATGGCATATTTGTTTAGTGGTGTCGCAATGGAATTATTCCTCACTTTTATATGGTAGGGTTCCATTCCATGTTTTGAGACTATGTTTGAAATTGAATCTTGAAAAGTCTAAAATCCCTTGATATCATCCATGGTAGCACTTTTGAAAGTATCATCATCCCATTCTCATGAGTTGAAGGGTGATTCACACTATCATCATTAGTGGCTTTTGAAAGTTGAACACCAAAGGACCCAGTAATGGCATATCTGAGGATCACTCAGGCAGAATTTTCAGAGTTTGAATCAAGGAAACATGATGAACTTACCCGGATATATTTGAGAGCAAAAACTCCAGAAGACTGATGATTTACCAGATACGATTCTGATAGATGATAGTCATGGACCATCTATGGTTCTTCTATGTTCCTGAATTCTCATTTGAAATCATTTGAAATGAAGGAGAATGATGATTTATTGAAGATTCATTGGAAGGCAATAGAAAATTGAACCCAAATATGATTTTTCCAAATTCCTCCTGAAGTCCCAGACAACAGAACCCATCGAAACAGAATGAATAGAGAATATCCAAAATGTTCTATTTGACACGCAGACATTTAGGAAGGAAAACAAAATGATTGGTCCCGAATGGAATATTGATTAGTTCCACTTGATGTTTGTTTAATGATTCTGCCCATGATATAATACTCACTGCTGATGGATGTTAAACATTATGTATGTTAGCTCTGCTCATTACCAAGCGAGAATCAGGAATGATGGGTGATGACGGCTGAATGCCTTTCGATGGTTGCATAATTTATCAATTTATATTTAAATGAGAACTTGAACTGAAACTGAATTAGAGGGATTATCCAGTGAGGATACCATGGTATGGATTGTCCAAAGTTTCATGCAGCCTATTTCACAAATATAGTTTTGTCAGGTTCTCAGATCTCACACCATTGTATCATTGAGTCCATGATTGCCACGGCACTCACGAAATGTCATGATCCCTGAATGATATTCTATAGAAAGATAGGGTTCAAAGGAAAATGGTCTCATTGACTCTGGAATGGAAAGATGGATTCCCATGGAATTGTTTCTGAATATGGAGAGGCCTTCCCATCACAGTCCTTTCGAAGGACCAACTGATATGGATCTTGATTCACTGAAACATTCCTGATCATAAAGGAATTCTGAGGAATGGATATGAACCCATACATTCTGCAACAACCATATGGATATCACACCACTTGAACCATTTCATGTGATTCTTGATTAGACAATCTATTGAATCCATCTGTCCCAGAGATGACCAGCACTCTCCTGATCATGATATGCTGATCCTAGGAACAGGCTTGAATGGATACTGGCATTAATAAACAGTAAGTGTTAATGAAGCTTTGTTAACTTCCTGAGCCAAGATGGATATCATGCCATTGCAGGAGGGTATATGAAAGTCATTTATGACTAATTTTTCTGTTGAACCCTTCCTGGCCTCCATCTGGTGAAAAGGGTCAAGCTCTGGCCATGTCCACTCATCTATGTTGCAGCTGGATTTGACCATGGAGGATCTGCCATTACTCACCCTGACCTCTTGCATGGATATTCACTAGGCCCTATTCATTTGTTTCCTGACGAATGAGCCACTCTGCCATCATTGATTTTAGCTTGATAGCTGCCCGCTCTGCCTACCGAGGAGGATCAAGATTTGTTTTATGTCATTTACCACCCGAGGTAACCCTGCCACCCATTCCATCATTATTCCCCGGCACATCTCTATTTACTTGATGCCCACAAGCCTGTTTCAAAGTCCATGAACTTCAACTATATTTGGCCATGGGTCTCTTGACGCAAGCCACCATCCGGCACGGTTTGACAAGAGGTGACACAACCACGACTCCCGGCCAACTGCAGCCCATGGCCCACGTCATGACTATGCCAGAGGCTTGAATCCTCATCACTCCAGCCTTTGTTCTCTGGCCTGGTGGCCTGGGCCTTGCAGTGGATTGGGCCATCCCACATGGGTTATGCATGGCACTCTTTGACGGGGTAGGTTCGGCCCTGATTCGCTCATCACCCCAGCGCCTGGGTAAAACGCCAGCGTCCCTGCTGAAGTAAACTCAAGTTTGCTGTTACCATGGAATCCCAGCCCATGCCGGGGCGGCGGGCCTCAACGTCCTATGAGCCTGTCTAGTCGGCCCATCAAGCGAATTCCATGCAACCAATGATTGTTGATGCCCGGCATTTATTGAGCCTCGCTTCAGATATCCTCTAGGGAGGAAACGATGCTGCCAAGTCGCCACTGCTCAGCACCCTCATGATTCCGGAGGGTATTTTTATTGATGTTTCACCATTCTGAAGTTTGTCGCTGCATGGAGGTCAACGAGGTTGAATCGCCATTTGAACTGCGTTTGGTACCATTTAGGTCATTCTTCTATGTCAGGGAATCAACCCATGGATCGGGTCTCATTCAAGTGGATTGACAGATGGTCGGATCGGTGATTTACCGACGCCCAGAGGTTCTCGATTCTCTTGAAGATCTTGTTTTCATCATATTTTATTATGATAAGTCGAAATATATAAGTTTTGAATATCAAATGAATGGCCATATGGTCATGAGTATGATCCTGATGATATGGGTGATGTGGATTGATGATGATACCATATTCACGACCAACCCTTGTTGAACTGAGGAATGGCGATATTACGAAGAAAGTGCTGAGAGATAACATATCATATCAGATCAAGCCACCCGCCATATATGGCACGCCATGATGTCCGGATCATGATCATGAAAAGATGGGCATGATAACATTATCATCTAATGCCCAGGGAGTCGAATCGATCCGAGGAACTAGGGTCGTTGATTGTGTTGATTTGACTGAAGGGTCAAGATTCCATGAATAGGACTCGAACTCAGGGATGATTCGATATTCTAGGTTGATTGGGTTTACCTATCATGGACATCCCTTTACGGTCTTCACTTTGAGGGAATCATGAGGCTGATCTAAGCTCAGTTCACGGAGAACCCTGGTTAACAACATGGGAATCGGACGAACATCATAAGACGCCATGAGAAAATAAAACTCCAACCCGGAGATAATGATATGAAATTAGGGACGGAGGAATTAAAAATCCGAAGATGAGATGATTACTGAATCCATTTCTGACCGAAGCCCTCCCATCCCAGATCAGTCGGAATGGAACCATCGATTTAGTCCTGAATGACGACCCATGATGAGATCCAATCCTCTTCCAGAGCGGCGATTTATCATTTTATTTTGACTGCCGGTTTGATTCATATCAACCCCATTGATTTGCACCACATCACCATACGAAGACTGGATAAAACGGAGTTCCGACAAATCATTGTATGCAGCCCTGACCCCATCCCGACCATGAGGGCCTGGCTGAACCGTCATGGCTGAGCCTGTTCATCGTCATTCGTATTGGTTTGAATGAATGGCTATGGAATGATGAATCCCGAACTGACCACACCAACCATCAGGCTTCATACGACATCGACCATGGTTGGTTCAGGTTCGGGCACCCATCATACCCGTCAAGGACGGGTGTTACCATCAGGGTTGGATGTTCAACTTTGGGCTGCCGTACGGCGACTTATTCGTTGCTGTATTCCACCACTTTTTACTCGAGCGACATTTGTTTACGGTACAGCCCACGCCAAGACTTAGGTCTACCTCTTTATCCCGAACACGCCTGGTAGCGCTCGATGGCACTCGGATATTCAACTGGAGAACGGATGGAAGCATCCCAACGCCATAAAACCCGGTTTCGAGCGTCAGCAGTCCCCACCAGGATGTTGAACGCGTCAGGCCCAGCACCAACAGTCACGTTCGAACTTAACGGAGTCCAAACCTGACCCAGGAAACCCTCGACCCACATCATGCCGAGCCGATCCTACGAACCGTAACGGCCGTTTGAACCGCCATGAACCACCCAATGTTGAAACAAAACCCCATATGCCTAACACATTCATGAACCCAGCGCCACCATACATCCCCATCAGCCACCGACCGTGTAAAATCCATGTCCGCCGAAAACACCCAGCGGAAGAAACACCCTGGATACATCTAAAACCACATACCTAACATGTACATAACACTTCCAGGGACAACGAGCGGCGAGGCCGCTCTAGCTGACGCATCGCGATCGATAACCACGTCTGGTCAGCTCGAAGTCGCGACTCGCGATATCACCTACTCTACCGCGATGGACTAACATCAACGGCATCGAATAATAAGCTGTTCGCCAGTGGAGCTCGCGAGTTTCAGATAATCGCCAGCTACTACAGCTGATGTGTGCTTTCGTAAAGCGATGAGATCTTCAAGCCCTGGGAGCCGAACTCAAGATGAACGACTCAAACGGCACAGTTTGTGTTAATCAACGACAGGAAACTCCTTGCGACTCGGTCGACCATTGGCGAGGACACTCGGTATGTCGCCGGACGAAGATAAAATGAACAACTACTGTCACAGGCACGAAGTTACCCGATGTAAGCATCGTACCGAGGCTGTGCGCTCATCTCCCCGCCAGGTGAGCACAACGGACAACATTCAAGGTGGGCACCCTTCCATGATACTGAGAGCAGTAATCGGTGAAAACGGAGGAAATACAGAACTTAGGTAGAGACTGAGTCGTTTTCACCACGGCAGTATAAGAGGTTAGCAGGGCAACATCCCTGAGCTGATAATATGATTGTTCGATATAAATCATAATCCCATGAATATAGGATACCTCTTTCAGCATAACGCCTGTAAATAAAATGACCAGCGCATTAAGGCCCCGGAATGAAGTTGAAAAAATGCATCAAATGTGGGGATCTCGAACTCGGGGAAACACGCCGGATTTGACGACCTCGGAGTAGATGGTAAATTGTACGCCTTTGCAACTGAAAGCAGCATTTACAAACGCTGCTTGAAGTCCCTCCATCGGTGGTACTAGCAACCTAAGTGGGGATATAGTAGATACCGCAAGAGCGGTCGTCAACACTCGCATACACCTCAGTCAACACCGTGATGATAAATGGATAATATACCCATCGCTCGGGGGCAAACTGTTCGAATTTAGACGATGTTGAGGAGCAGCGTGGCGGCCATCACCAAAAAATAAGCAATATTCCCTCGCCTTTAACCGGCGAATGATATGGGCGTTGGTGCCAGCTAAAGTCGACTGGTTTCTCAACGTGGAGCTCGGCTCCCCACGCAGGTTCACGAGGAGAACAAAGACAACTACCTAAACAAAGTCGTGAACAAAGCGGAACCCTGATCGTGGCTTTACGTCCCGGCGCAGAGGCGTGGTATAATCATCAGTCCCGCTCGCCAGTATGGCAGCGCACATTCTATCTAGCAAGCCGGGATGCAAAGCGCGGTATTGCGGTTGGTGTCTGAATTGAAAGCGTGGTCAACATCCTGGAGAGTCTACCAGCGGAAACTTAACGCTGGTCATCCAAGCTCCACCTTAGGGAACCATCGGCGGGATGAAGTCGGAAATCGCGAAGGGGATCAAACTCCGATGGGGAAGCTTGACACCAGTATCGCGTTTGCACTGTTGTTGTAATGCGGGTGGATATCGCATCTTTACACCAGTCTGCAGAAGTCATCGTGACTGTGGAAGACGCGACCTATCCTCACCAAGATCTTCCTACTCCGACAACATACCGCTTCATGGGGGTAGAAGTGCATTCCTGAGAAATTATCAGAAGAAACAGTTGGAAACTATCTCTGCAATAGCATTATGGCAATGACTAAAGCA